ATCTATCATTATATAAAAAGAATAACCTTTTTACAAATTTAGAAATTTTTTCCCGCCAAAATCATTAAATATATCCTACATATAGTAATTGTTGGACAAACTTGAATAGGCAAAAAAATCGGTTCATTAATTGTGTAAAAAATTGTTTCTTTTTTTCATGTTTTTTAGTTTATCAAAACCGTTGTTTAACAATAAATATTTGTTTTTCTTTTTTCTATTTTTAATATAAATCTACACGAGCTTATCTCTTTTGTTACAAAATCTCATTGCATAAGTCTCACGTCTCATCCCTTATCTATAGAGATTTGAAAAAATAAAATAAAATAGAAACCAATTCATAATTACTACTAGAAATTCATTATCTACCTTAAGAAGCTAATTTTCATCGGTCTAATTACTAATATTTTTACAAATATTATAAGCTAACCATACAAAAAAGTATAATAATAATTTTGAAATGGTATGTGATTAAAATTTTATATATTCTCTTATACAAAATAATTTTACATTGTTTGATCCCGAATCTTTAATTTATAATTATTAAGTATTTTTTATCCTCTTCTTTAATTTATAATTATTTTTTTTCTTCCTCTTTTTAAATAGGATCAATAGTAGTTTCCACTTTTACCGTTGAGTGACTCAAACTCGAGGTCTATTTATAATATTGTTAATTTAATATTGTTCCCGTGCATCGCACGAGGTACACACTAGTTTTTCTTCCAACAATGCAACCAAATATAGCTGTTACAGCTCTGAATGTGCCAATCAACTTTAAGTTTCAACATTAGCCGTTACACATTTAAATATTTTGTACTAAATTTAGAATTAATTAGTAACTAATCCAAAAAATATATAATAAAAATATATATATTAAGGTGTAACAGTTTAGCAATTAGTGAGTAATTTAATTAAAAAAATATAACTCATTTTGGAGAAAAATGAAAATAGATTTTATTAAATGCTTTATTTAATGCATCAGCTATTAATTATATATAGATTAGGAACGGATTGGGTCAAACCCGACCCGTTTCATAAAGCGCCCAAACAATTTTCTTCACGAACGCGCAGAGAATGCGATATCATATACAAAAGGCATCGGCTTCGCAGCTGAAAACCTTTAGAGTTGACTCGTCAATGCGGGCCAGCGACTTCGACGATCAATTTGGAGGAAATTCATTTGCTGGTAATTTGTCTCTGATATCTCATGGCCATTGTTGATCAATTTTAGCGTTAGTGTTGTATTTATTTATTTATTTTTTAATTTTCTTTCGTAGAGATGATCGCTGTAGGGTTTCCGATTTGGGTTTACGCAGACTCTCTCTGTTTTATATATGATGTTATGCTTTTCTGTGTTGTTTTTGGACTGGAATACACAGCTGCATTTCGTCTTTCTTCCGGTAGTCTTCCATTTTTTTGGCTTTCCTTTTCAGCCTTTTGGTTCACTTTTTTCTTCCTGGGTGGCTAAACCGGCAATGGAAATGGTAATCAAACCTATTGTGCTAGTGTGAGAAAGGATTTCCTTGAAATCATTGAATTTGTCGATTTTTTGGGTTTCTTTTTTCTTGTTTGCTCTATATAATCTGCTATAGACGTTTTGTGTAATTAACCCAGGTTATTTGCGGATTTGTGCACTGAATTGTCTGATGTCTCTCTCTTTTGTTTATTTTTGTTTATTGAGTTTTGTTGAAATGTAGTATATTGATCTTGATTGTAAGAGAAAGTGTTTGCTCAAAAAATCTATGCTTTTTTAGCAAGATGGGTGGGTTTAACTTGTCTGAAACAGTTATTGCTGATGTGTGCTGCTAAGTTTGTTTTCTATTGGTGATGTCAGGAAACTGTTCATGGATAAATGCATATTTAGTTGAGAATATGGGCATCACTGACCCGGTCCATTAGGCTGATATTACTCGGGAGGATATTTGGATGAAATATTTTCCAAGGTACATTCCTTCTGCTACAATGTGGTATTCCAATTGAATTTCAATGGTTTATTTTAAGCTTATTTTCTCATTGTTTTGCTTATTCATTCAGTGTTGGATACGACTTTTAGGATATAACAGTACACATCTGTGAATCAGTTACTGAGTACATGTTCCTCTGCTTATAAATCCTTTTGTTATCCTTACCGTAATATTTTTTTATGTGTACACAAGCATACCGCGATTAGTATGCTTGTAAAAGTGCTGTGTTATCAAATGGCGGCCATGGCAATATGGCGTGGTGGATTTTTGACAATCCGCCATGCTAAATTTGTGAAGGATGGCGGTTATGGCGAATTTTTGGCCAACCACCATATGCCGCCATCCGCCATTAATAACACTGCATAAGTGTATATTAGACATTAGTAGGAGTTTGATGGGTTAACTGGATCATTTTTTGCTGAGTTTTGAAAGAATTCCTCTTAATAGTTTTTACTTTTTAGAAACATCCTCAGAAGATCATAAAACCAAGTGGTAAGAAGGGGCGGGTTATGTTAGAAAGAGTTATTTCGGGGCATTCAATGTGGGGCTGCCTTTCAAATATTTGCCCTTTTGTTGGGATGAAAATGAATAATTAGGTGGATATCATGGCTACAGAGAGATATGGATTTCAGAAACCCAAAAGACAATTGCTAATGGAAAACCTGTAGATGGTATTGTATTGGGGACAGGAGCATGAACTTGTGACATTATTTGAAATAATTATATATCTCTGATCTTCTGCCACTTGTACAGCAGGCAAAGCTTTAATTTTTTTCATCCCACGGCTTTTTATCTTCTGTAACACATTTGTTTTCATGTTTTCTGTGGTCAGTACCTCCATCTTGTGCGCAAAAGCTATAGGGCAGTAGAATTGAGGCAACCCCCATGATGCATTGACATTTCCAGAACTACTAATTGGCTCTTGAGTTAACCCCGAGGATACTAATTCTGAGTCAAATTATCACTTAAAGAGGCAACCACCTTCAACAAATGCTTCAAAATGGCCGAACAACTTACAAAGGCTCTTAGGAAAACCTCAATGGCTTACGAAGTCAAGAAAGTATCTTCAAGCCCCAAAGATCGGCAGCCCCAGTCCAAGAAACAACAGAGAAAAGGGGAAAACCCTATCCGGATTCCTCCCAGCCAGGAGCCATGTGTCGATTTGAAACCTTCTAATTCGTGGATCTGTAAGAATTCCGCATGCCGGGCGACACTTTCAGTGGATGACACATTCTGCAAAAGGTGCTCTTGCTGCATTTGCCATTTATTTGATGACAACAAGGACCCGAGCCTTTGGTTGGAATGCACATCGGAATCTGGTCTCGCAGATGCATGTGGACTGTCTTGCCACATTGAGTGTGCTCTACAACGTGGTAAGGTGGGGGTTGTTGACCTTGGCCTGTTGATGCAGTTGGATGGAAGCTACTGTTGTGCTTCGTGTGGCAAAGTCTCTGGGATACTTGGGTATTTACCTGTATTTTATTTTGTTTTATTCCCTTGATAGTACCATCTCTGTCCTCTGTTGTTCTTNATTGCCATTTATACAGAACTGGATAAATGAGAAAAATAATTGAAGTTTCTGAAGCTTTACAAAAGTTGCATGTGCAGTTTTATCTTGTTCTTGTTCTCGGTGATCTGACCAAAGTCACCTTTGGTTTGTACTTTTGCTAAAATGAAATTATAACCATTTAATGACAAATGTTGAGAAATAACCTGCTTCTTATTGGATACTGGTGTTTATGTGAGTAGCACAAGCCTTTTAACTTGATTTTCACTTGAGGCTTTCTCCTTTTGTACCATTGTTACAGATGCTGGAAGAAGCAATTAATTATAGCTAAGGACGCCCGGCGTGTTGACGTGCTGTGTTACAGGATATTCTTGAGTTACAGGCTTCTCGATGGGACTTCGAGGTTTAAAGAACTCCATGAATTTATTAAAGAAGCCAAAGCCAAGTTGGAAACCGAGGTGGGCCCGGTAGATGGGGTTTCGGCCAAGATGGCCCGAGGTATCGTCAGCAGACTCTCTGCAGCAGTCGATGTGCAAAGGCTTTGCTCACTTGCGGTTGAAAAAGCCGATGAATTGATAGATTCAAAGTCTACTACCTCAACCAATTTAATTGGTAATTAGTGTTAATTACAAGAATCCCCCCCGCAGCTCCCTCTAATCACCAAGAAATCGATAAAGAAAAGCCAGTAATATTTCAAATCATCCCAGATTTTTTTTTATCTGTTTTACAATTCTCCACTCTCAAGAGGCGAATGCGTAATTTCGGAGAACAAGCTTAACTCTTTTGTAATTGGCCTGAACTTCAGTAGAGTAGTTTTGGCAATTAATCAACTTGCGAAATTATCTTCTCGTGCTTCAAGTTCACCGTTTTCTCTCTCTGGCAGAAAATTCACTTCCCGCGGCCTGCAAATTTCTGTTCGAGGAAGTTACACCATCATCAATCGTCGTTTTACTGATCGAGCTATCGAATTCTTCGGACGACACCATCAAGGGCTACAAACTCTGGTACTGCAAATCAAAGGACGAGAGCTACTCAAAAGAGCCTCTCTCCATCTTCCCTCGAAACCACAGAAGGATTTGGATATCCAATCTGCAGCCCTGCACGGAGTACTCCATCCGCATTGTGTCGTACACAGAATCCGGCGACTTTGGGCACTCGGAAGCAAAGTGCTTTACATCGAGCGTCGAGGTCATGCAGCACAAGGACTTTGGAAATGACATAAATGCCCCTGGCCCCAGCACCAGCACCCAACACCTACCAGACGTGGAATCCGACCCTGGGTTCAAAGTCCGGGACCTTGGCAGGATCCTGAGGATGGCCCAGCAGTGCTCGTGTGAGGCCAAGGCCCATAAATTCTGTGGGCCCAACGACGAGGCCCAGCTCGAGGCCCGTGAGGAGAAACCTTCTTCGGTCTCCCGCCAGCTGGACCTGAATACACCTGCTGTGGAGTCGGAGGCTGATGATGATGATGATGATGACGTGTCTCACGAGATCCAGCGGAAGCATGGGGAGGTGCCAGCTGTCGACTCGGGATTGGCCTTTTCTGGGAAGAGGAAGCATAGTGTTGCAAATAATAACGGTGAGATTCAGGATTCGGACAGCACACTGACTAACGACTCGGGCAGCCTGGACGAAAATTTCGAGTACTGTGTGAAGATCATACGGTGGATGGAGTGCGAGGGGTATATTGGGAAGGATTTTAGGCTGAAGCTGCTGACGTGGTTTAGCCTGAGGTCGACTGAGCAGGAGCGTAGGGTGGTTAATACATTCATACAGACGCTGATTGACGACCCGAGTAGTTTGGCTGGCCAGCTGGTTGACTCATTCTCGGATGTCGTGTCCAGCAAGAGGACGCGTAATGGTTTTCCATAGTGAGTTTTGGTATTAAAAAAAGATTAATTTATTTTCTGGGATTATTACTTATTTTGTTGATTTTTGTGGTGTTTATGGTTGTTTTTACAGGCACTGTTGCGTAAAAAACATGTCTTCTTGGGCGGTGATTCGTTTTGCTAATTTGGGATTCGATCTGTGAAGATAGGCATTGCTAGGTCAGTATTAACTGATTTTTAAGGGCGACGGGGTCTCACGCATTGTGGAGCCGCGCGTTTGATTTGTTTTGTTGTGTAGTATCCATTTTTATTACTCACTGGGTAGTGAAAATTTGAGATGTTGACTCTGTTTTAATGCTAGAATGGTAGATGTATGGCTCTTGAGATATTTCAGTAAATTTAAATATAATTTCTATTTTATCCTCCAAGATTATGTGTGCTCATTAGGGAATGGCTTTGGCAGTTGGCTTGGATCTTGAGTGTTGCAAACTCTAGAACTTGAAGAATGCAGTTGTTTTAATTGTTTACTTGAGTTTGATGAGCTCAAAAACAGTGTACATAATCTCTGATGTTGCATTAATTGCCTGAAGCCTGAAGGATTTGAAGCCGGAAAATGTAAATAAATAAATAATAAAATGAAATTAAAAGTTTGGAATGTTGACATAGTTTGGATGCAAGTATGAAGAATGCTGGAGTTTAAGGAGACAAATCGAACACATCCACGTTTTTTATGTTGAGATGTACCAGAATTAATCCTTCAGATAACAAACAGATTTTCTTCCACTTGAAACATCAACAAGACAGCATGGAGTTAGGCAGAGCCAAGCTGTATGTTTGTTTAGATTTCTTTTGGTTTCCAATTGCATCAATTTTTTTATTTATTTTTTCGTTCTCTCTTCAAATGATTTATAAAGTTGGTCACTTCATTATAATAATTTTATTAAATCTTTGTTTCTTATGGGGAAAAAAACTCCACATGTTATAAGAGGTTTCCACGTCTCTTGACTGATAGTAAATTGCCAAATTGTAATTACATTGACCAAAAAATCATCTACTATTGAGAGATAGTAAAATGTAAAATGCCAAATTGGAATTATTATGAGGAAAAAGAGCAAAAAAGTGTTATCAGGCACAAAAATATGGGACTGGGTCCACATGGCACGCTATTGGTTGTTAAATACACTCGCGTGTCACCTTCTTGCATGGCCACTTTTAGGGGATAAAAAATTTGATTCGATCTAACAAATCAACTAAGTCAAGATTAAACTCTCGGTCGGTAAAAGCAATTTAGTTATCCATAAATATAATAATTTTCTTCAAATTGTTCATAAAAAAAAAGAAAAAAAGAAAAAGAAAAGAGAAGCAAGCACCAACATTTTTCATATGCGTTGGGTATTCCATCAATGATTTATATGGAATAATGTTAAGCACAAAAAAGTCAATTAATTTTTTTGTTTTCTTTTAAAATCTTGAAGTGAACATATATAGTTACATATTACGCGAAAAAAGGGCCCCCTTTATGCAAATGCATGCAAACAGATACCTACGTCAATTTAACTCTTAAACTCATTTATATTCTCCGTGTTTATTGGCAAAATCACTACCAGAAATATTACTCTTCATCATACAGATGTTCATATGAATGAAACTCTCAACCTGCAATTTCTATCTAATTAAATTATGCAATATATACATTTTTGAACATTAATTATTTAGTATTTTTAGATGCATCAAATGTCAACCGGATGTTTTATTGTGTTACTTATCCTTTCTCTGCATGCTTGCTATGCTCCAAGTTCTGGAGTTCCCAAAGGAGACCCGAAGGACGAATTCGGGCAATATTCGCCCCACAAGGTACGTATTTTCCGTTAATGGCCTGCTCAATTAATTATTTACATTTTTTTTTAAAAAAAAGTATAAATATTAAATGAGTCACTATTTTTGTAGTATTAGGAGCTATTAATGTTCCTAAACCCTAATGTCGACATTTGATTGTAAGTTGACAGTGAAAATGGGTTTGACAAGTCATTTTAATTTCTAATTACATAATCAATATATTTTAGCTCTATTTTTAAATTTATAGTTTTTCAAATTCTACCAGTTACCCTTTGTAGCGGCGTATCAGGTTCCTGAAACTCGCAATTTGTAGACAATTAAACCTTATTGATCCCCGCTTAATTAATTTGTAAATGTATAACAATAATTGTTTGCAGGAAAATGGACTGGGCAAGAAAATTATGGGGAATGGTGTGATAAACAATAGACACGTGTCCGGAAAGTATAAGCATGCATTTAGAGTGCCTCACAGGAAAATAAGAGAGGAAGATGAAGCAGAGTTTCACCTGGATTATGAGCCACCAAGAACATATCCTCCTGTTCACAATTGATTAAATGGATGCTTGATTTAGAAATATATGAAGGATTAATAATATTATATAATTTGAATAGTGAACAAGATGATGGTTAATTTAAGTGGAGCCATGTTGTGTCTTTGTTGATGGTGATATAAATTATTGAATGTTACTTTGCAGCGATTATAGGAACTAAGAGCGCACGGTTATTGAGATCCGACAATCTCGACGGTGGAAATAATGTATTTATTGTTGGGCAAAATTTCATTTTTGGTCCTATAACTTGGCCACAGTCCAAAAAACCACCCTATATTGACCACTTTCAATTTAAGTCCTATAATTTGTCAATTTCATCATTTATGGTCCTATTTTATCCGGCCCTGGGATAAAAATTTGACGTGTCATTTGTTGATCTGACGTGTCAACTTCACTTTCATTTAATAATCTTATTATTCCATGTGGCAATAATTATACCCATGTGGACCAAAAAATTTAAAACTAAAAAATTAAAATAACAAAAAAAAAAACAAAATTTGTAGAACACAGTTTTGCCGCCGTCAAAACAAGGAAGAACTTCTTTTCCCGTCGTCAATACATGTTCTCTTCAGCCGACCACAGTTTTGCCGCCGCTCGAGCACCATCCTCGGCCAATAAATCCACGTTCAGCCTTCAACCAGCAACACCGCTCCACCGGCCCCCTCACCTGCGGTCAAGGCCAACACCTTCAAGAGCTCCGGTTTGTTCTTCTCGATACCCGCCGGAAAAACGGGTTGCTTACAAAATTATCAATTCTGGAGATAGTGGACGCCTTTGGGTGCAGGACGGTATGAGGAATTCAGAGGTATCTTCGAATTTCAGTGGGTCGCCGTGAATTGCCGGAAATTGAGGATTTTGACCGGAATTTTTATAGATCTAAAAATTTGACTAGAGCAATTGACAGCCTTACATGTGAAAATTTCGCCGGAAATTGTACGAGGTGAACGAGGACGAGAATAGCTTCAATATACTAGGATATCTGCTTTTGCCAATCGGATCTGTACATTGACCCATTGGTATGTAACACGACTGTGTTGTCTGGCATTGTGTCATTTGCGCGTAATCTGTTGATAAATTTCCAGCTTCATGCAAATTCGCTCGGGAAGCCGGGCCAAATTGACTGAATTGGCCTGACCAGGCCCAATTTGACTGAGCTGGCTCGTTGGGTTGCCAATTTTTGCAGATCGGGTGCTGTGAGGTTGAATTGGGCATAGCGGGGGCTGTGGGGATCCAAGAGCAGCTAATCTGGAAGTCTTTCAGCTCTGAAGGTGCCCCTCTAGCCGCCATCCCAATTGGGAAATTGCCTGGTAATTCAGAAATCCCCCCTTTTTTTTGTTCTCTATAGTAATTTTTCACTTATAATTTTATAATTTTTCTGGAAATGCCGATCGACGTCCACCGTTCACAGTGGAAGTTCACCGACCCGACCTCCGGCGAGCGCGAGCTATACTCCTTGACCGACCTCCGGCGAGCCTTACTCCCTCACAGTGGAAGTTCACCGACCCGACCTCCGGCGAGCTCAATCTTTACTCCGCGACCGACCTCCGACGGGCCTTGCTCCCTCTTCCTCTTCACCGCTCATTTCTTATTTATTTATTTGGTTTTAATATTTTATGTTTTGGTTTTAATTTTTCACTTTTTTTATTTCCACCTAATCTTGAATGTAGATGTGGATAGTTTGATTTTGAGTCAACATTTTCTAATCCTGCCACGTAATCCAAAATCACGCCACGTCAAGTTTTTATCCCGGGGTCGGATAAAATAGGACCATAAATGATGAAATTGACAAGTTATAGGACTTAAATTGAAAGTGGTCAATATAGGGGTGGTTTTTTGGACTGTGGCCAAGTTATAGGACCAAAAATGAAATTTTGCCTTATTGTTGTGAGTATTTCATTTAATAAATGAATGTGAATTTTTTCATAATTATGATTCTATGTTTTATACACAATCATAAAAGAATCTATATATATATATATATAATAAGAATTACTATGTACTAAAAATAGTAAGCGAAAAATTCTGGGAATATTAATTACATTTCATTTTTGGAAGTTTTTTTAATTTTTTTAATAAAAAAATCAAGCAGCATTTAATGCTACCATAAATCATGGAACTTGTTATATTTAAATTTCAAATTTCAAAAAAACTTGCCTGATTGTATTTTACAGTTTTTTGGAAAAAAATTTAAATCCTAAAGATTGAAAAGAACAATCTATCCTTATCTTAGTAACAAATCTATAATAATATATAATATGACAAGGGCAACACGTTAGATTAGGAGAATAATTTGAGTATTTGTCGGCAGATAAAACAATATTAACTATTAACGTGATTAAAATCAATTGCCTAATTAATTAGTATATGAATGAATAATGAATATAAATGATAACAATAAGAAAAAATTAAATTTTTGCTAATAAGATTGTGAATGGATATAAAATAATATTACTACGCACTTAATAATTAAAATAATATTATTACACATTTGATGTTTTAATTTTCAACCATTTCAATTAATATTTTATTATTTTATATCATATTAATTTTAATCATTATATTTTTATTTTATAATTTTTCATAATTTGAATGTGAAGATTGTAAGCTATGGCATATTTTAAATACTTATCATGTTTTTTTTGTTGATGTGTCACATGTGATAGGCAATGTGTAGAAGTAAGTTTTGAGCTATTCGAAATTATTTGAATGGTGTTCGACATCAAAACTCAAATATATATATATATAGCGTCAGCATTAATTGCATGTCATTTTATAGCATATTTTTACATAAAATCGGGCAGCATTAAATGTGGTCATTGAATATTGGAATTTGTTCAATTACAAAATGAAGTTGTTATTGATTTAATTTTTTTTATTTTTGGATTTTTTTTTTCTAAAACAGAAAATGGGCAATTCAATTAAAAAATGAAGTTACGGTTGATTTAATTGTTTTGTTTGACAATGTTTTTAAATAAAAATAAAATATGGCATAATTAAATTCTTAAAATGTGGGTTTTGTTTGATTAATAAATAAAGTTGCGGTTGATTTAATTACGAAACAATATGGTGCACTCAAAATTCGGGTTTTCTTCAATTCATTTTTAAATTGCGGCTGGTTTAGTTGTAACACTAAAAAATCTTACCATATATTAAGCTAAATATTTTAATAAATTAAAACACGCATATCTACTATCTCAATGTATATATGCATCAATGGTTTATTTCGTAGATATAATTTACACAACAAGGTAAGTTTTCTATATTTTTGTATCCCTAACTCTCTCAAATTCATGACAACATCATACTTTTGATCAAAGCATTCAGTTTTATATGCAGCAACAACAATAAGAATTTAAAGTTTGTCATATGAATGCAATGTAAAAGTTAGAGGTTGCCATATGAATGTCTTGAATAACAAGCTTTTTCGATAAAAGTTTGTACTGTAACACACAGTTTCTAATATTTTTTTCGAAATAATTTTGCATGAATTTGAAAATATTGAATATTTAAGGTTTTTAAGGTTAATCATGTATTTTCCACTTATCGTTTCTTACGCCACGAAAATAAACAAGAGTCATGGTCAATATTTATCGCATTTTGGCATGTTCTTGGAGAAACTGGAGTTCAGTCACGATCAGCTGTATGTAGATATTTCACGTGTCATGAATCGTAAAATTTTGAAGATTTTAAGTTGTGTCAATATACCAAAAAAATCAAATAAAAATTGTTGTGTACGTTCTGACAAATAAAAAATCAAATAAAAATCAAATAGGTTTTAATTATATATAAATAACAATTTACTTTATTCCATACATGCGTTTTACGTTTTCACTTATGACCAATCATCCACTATACAAATCTAACTTCCCTTAATAATATTAGCCTGTGCATCGCACGGGTACCACACTAGTAAAAGAAAAAGAGAGGAGGTCAACATCACAACACGAGCACCGGTGATTAGCTTTAAGGTCGAGGACGTCTAGGGATTGTATGTGCCGCACAATGACGCGCTGGTGATTAAGGCAGAAGTGGCGGGATACGATGTGCAACGAGTTTACATTGATACGGGGAGTTCAATCGACTCATGTTTTATGATTGTTTCAGGCAGATGAACCTTGATGTCGAGCTGAAAGAGGTGGTCACATCGTTGTACGGATTTAATGGTGGGGAGGTCGTTCTCGTGGGTGAAGTCACCTTGCCAGTTTCCCTGGGGACGGGCCCAACAAAGAAAGTGAAATTGGTGAGGATTGTGGTGGTCGGTGTTGAATCTGCGTACAACATCATCTTGAGAAGGACTAGGCCTGTAAACTCGGCTCGTTAAATAAACGAGCCAGAAATTGAGCTCGAGTTTGGCTCGTTTAACTCTATTAACGAGCCGATCTCAAGCTTTAACGAGCCGTGCTATAGAAAATCATATAAAAATTCTCTTTTCAAGCCTTACCGAGCAAGCCGAGCTTGACTCGTTAACCAAACAAGCTTCAAATGAGCTCGAGCCGAGCCGAGCCGAGCCAGACTTGTTTAATTTAATAGCACTAAGAAGGATGACTTTGAACCCCTTTCACGCAGTGGTCTCGATCTATCACATGACGATTAACTACCCAGTCAAAGAGCTAGTCAGACAGGTCGTGAGGGATCAACTCACCTTGAGAATGTGTTATCAGGTCACAGTGCCGGCGGACACGCATTATACAAGGAAAATAGAAATCCCAAAGGAAGATGGAGTTAACAGGCCGAGAAGTTCGAGAAAAGCGGATGAGTTGTTGATGGTATATAAGGGGAGCAATAGGATGACATCCAACCAGGAGAGGAGATCGTAGTGGTCCAGATGATAGAAGGGAGTGACGACAGAAAGTTTCGGATCGGAGGAAAATTGATAGATCCTCTACGAGCGGAGCATATTAGTTGGATGTGGGAGTTTGCTGACATTTTTGTTTACACATCGGAGGAGCTCACGGGCATTGATGCGAGGATTATCGAGCACCGGTTGAATATCGACCTTAAAGTTCGACTTGTGCAGCAGAAGAGATGTCATCACGGAGTTGAAATGGACAAAATATCAAGCAGGATGTCAACATAAGGCAGGGCATGTCATCGAAATTCAATTTCTAAAATGGTTGTCCAACACCATGATGTTACCAAAGTCAGAGGGAAAATGGAGAATGCGCATTGACTTCAGAGACCTCAATAAATCATGCCCAAAAGACCATTATCCGTTGCCAAGAATCGGCCAACTGGTTGACTCAACTGTTGGGTGTGAGGTGTTGAGTTTAATGGATGCTTCACAGAGTTATCATCAAATTGTATATAATTTATTAAAATATATTAATTTTTTTAAAAAAATTATTTATTTTTTATAATAAAAAATGATAATGTCATTCTATTCCAGTCATATTCCTTCTGCATTCCAAACGCATCAATGACAAAACATGTTTCATTCCATTTTCATAATCATTCAATTCTTCAATTCTTTCCATTCCTACGAAATTCCATTCCATCATACCAATCATGCCATAATTGTATAATTTTGAATGATGGGAAACTTTAATAACCTTAATGTTCGTTAAGAATGATGCTAAAAAACTTCATAAATAAAATAAAATTTAACTTATACACATGATAAGATTACTTTATGCATCACATACAATAAATATAAATATATTAACAATATTTATATGCATGCAACCATATGCCAAATAATTAAATACACAAACTTGCAATTTTTTTTAGTTGAAACTTCCAAATGGGTGGGCTACAAGAAGACCAATGATATAATAGCCCAAGTGTCCTCAATCATAGTGCTTATATAATACTCTATAAAACCACCAATCATTTTGAATCGAGATTCAAATTTAATCTCACTCACTTGCTGAATTTAGATTTTTACATAATATCAAACACTCCCAACGGCTTCGAAACACACACCCACACACACATACCAAAACAGAAAAAGAAAAAGGAAAAGAAAAAGAAAAAAGAAAATTCAATAAGCATGACAACTGACACATCATCCTCCCCACTCAACTCAAACGATCTCTCCACGGCGTCACAGCCGCTCAATGTGGCGGTGATTGGCGCCGGAGTCTCCGGCCTATCCGCTGCCGTCGCTCTCAAGAGCGAAGGCCACCGAGTTGTGGCCTTCGAGAAATCGGACCAACTCGGCGGCGTCTGGGTCTACGACCCACGAGCCGAATCTGACCCGTTGGGCCTCGACCCGAATCGGGAAATCGTTCATGGCAGCTTGTACCGTTCTCTCCGGACCAACATCCCCAGGCAGATGATGGGTTTTTGCGATTGCCCGTTTGCGACCAGGAAGAACCGCGACCCGAGGACATTCCCGGGTCATGT